CAAAAACTGTATATATATATATATATATATATATATAAGGTCACGTGTCAATCTTATGTTCTGAAAATAAATATGAAGCCCAAATTATTATTCGATTCAATACTTATTACTGAGGCATTCCGGTTCTAGAAAATTCTACCCCTCGTCACAATAACCCTGTTATTCAGTAACCCTGAACATCAGCAAATCGAAAGAACAAGGCCTAGCTTCCTATACCGGTGGAGTGTATATTATATTACAAAAACTGGTGAATCGAATAATAGATCGGACGTCATATATATTTTTAATATTTCAAAACAACTTGTCTGTTGAATAATTCAGAAAAACGGGGAAAAAAAAAACATTTTAGAAATTCGGAAGAAAATTTATTTTCTTACAAAGAAAATTAAAATAAAGATGCTATATCACTTAAAAACGAGTTTCGAAATTCTAATTCCTGGCATTTTTGATTCGCTTTGAAGTAACTGAGTAGTGAGTATGTTATTAAGAAATGAATTTTCTATTATTTTAATACTTAGCAAAATATATTAAAGTTAAGAGAATACAAGAGTTTATTAGATTAAGTCTGTATTTTTTCTCCAATAGGCGGCGTCAACGCCAGAAGAACCAATAAGAAGTGAGCAGAAAAATTATAAATGAATAATTATTACACTGCAATAAAATAAAATACAAAATGATAAAACTAAGGAAAAAGAACAGCAGTGCAAAGCTCCGCATTTTGACGGAAAATATTTTAAGGAAACTCATTAAAAAAAACGGAATTTTTTCCGTAATTTTAGTGTTTTTTTTTTAAATGAATATCTTTACTGTACAAAATAATAATAATAATAAGCACACGTTCTCAGAGATATAAGCAACAATCTGACAAATCCCAGACATATCAGATCGGCGATCAAGATTTCCTGGAATACTTGTATTGGAAATGTGAAACAAGTGTACAGTTGTTAATCGTTCGCTTCTTTGACCTTTGAACTTACAGGTCATGAACTTTTTACGTGTGTATGTTTTCAATGTATTTGAGGTATTACATGCACGGCTCTTAATAAATCTTACTTTCCCGAGTGTCAAAAATTTAACAAACTTTGCAAGTTACTTAAAGACTCGTTCAATTTGTTCATTGAATTTAATTAAACACAATGGCTCGGTATGGCCAGGTGGTTAAGGCACTCGACTCGCAATCTGAGAGTCGCGGGTTCGAATCCCTGTCACACCAAACATGCTCGCCCTTTCAGCCGTGGGGGCGTTATAATGTGACGGTCAATCCCACTATTCGTTGGTAAAAGAGTAGCCCAAGAGTTGGCGGTGGGTGGTGATGACTAGCTGCCTTCCCTCTAGTCTTACACTGCTAAATTAGGGACGGCTAGCGCAGATAGCCCTCGTGTAGCTTTGCGCGAAATTCAAAACAAACAAACAATTAGATACAATTTGAAGTATGACATTACGCGTAAACCTTTTTGCTTTATCTAGCTATCAATTTCTTGCTCACTTATTCATCTGAATTGATAAGAAAATGAAATAGTCTTTGAGGTTTGATTTGTTAATTTCAAGTTGGAGAACCAGTTCTGTTTTTGATTTTCAGCAAGCACAAATAAAGGTTTAAAAAATCTCAGTTTTTCTGAAATAACTCGGAAAAAAGTATCGTTTCTCTAAGACTCTTAATCCTTAAACATATTTTAGAAAGTTAGAAAACAGACTATTATTAATTAATAAAACTTGACCGACACATGAATAATCTCTTTCATTGATCATAAATAAATGGACGCCTTAAAAAAAAAACACGTGACTGGGTCAAAAGGTGTGACTTTCTTTGTAACACGCCTTGTTCAGTAGCTGTAATAAGAAAGTTTCATAAGTTTCAAGCAAAGCTACACAAGGGCTATCTACGCATAGCCATCCCTCATTTTGAACTGACAGACTAGCGTGAAAGCTACTAGACTACAACACCTACCGCCTACTCTTGTTTGAACAGAATAGTTGGATTTGACTGTCAGTCTTATAGTGTACCCACGGTTCCATAGTGCGGAGCGTGTTTTTATGGCAACGGGCCCCGTATTGTGAACCCTTAGATTTACAACCCAATCATGCTAAACACTAGTCCACGCCCTACCCTCAATAGGTGCAATTCGAGGGCTCTTCTAAACCAATTTAACAACCACTTGACTGACTCACTAGGTGTGACTGTATGAAATTTTTAAATTATCTTTGTGACTTGTCCATTAGACCCAAATAACGATTTTCCTAAAACGATGTAACAAACACGAGACTGACTCACTACGTATAATTATAGAGTACTTCTATACAGCTGTTAGAAACGCCTTAATGACTGATTAAATATGATTAGAGGCATTCTATCTTGTCATAAAACACACGTGACAAACTCACTACGTATAATTATAGAGTACTTCTATACAGCTGTTAGAAACGCCTTAATGACTCATTAAATATGATTAGAGGCATTCTATCTTGTCATAAAACACACGTGACTTTGTTTTCTAGATTCAACTAAAAGGAACTTTAACCTGTCGTAAAACACACGTGACCTACTTACTAAACGTAAAACACACGTGATTTGTTTCTAGATTCAACTAAAAGGAACTTTAACCTGTCGTAAAACACACGTGACTTACTTACTAAACGTAAAACACACGTGATTTGTTTTCTAGATTCAACTAAAAGGAACTTTAACCTGTCATAAAACACACGTGACTTACTTACTAAACGTAAAACACACGTGATTTATTTTCTAGATTCAACTAAAAGGAACTTTAACCTGTCGTAAAACACACGTGACTTACTTACTAAACGTAAAACACACGTGATTTGTTTTCTAGATTCAACTAAAAGGAACTTTAACCTGTCATAAAACACACGTGACTTACTTACTAAACGCAAATAAAATTCGCTATTAATCTGTTATAAAACATACGTCAAATGTTTAATGGATGCAACTAAAGGACATTTTTATTAAATTGTCGTAAAACACACATGACTTACTTACTAAACGTAAAACACGCGGTAACTTGTTCACTTGATGCATTTAAAGGACACTTTTAACCTGCCGTAAAACACGCGTTGACTTGTTCACTTGATGCATTTAAAGGACACTTTTAACCTGCCGTAAAACACGCGTTGACTTGTTCACTT